CATTAGTTGAGGTTTCTGTGAAGCCTCCGAGAATATTCTCCTTGGTATAATTTGGCGGAAAACATTTCCAAATAAAGGTTTCCAAGGACAGAACTTTATCTGTATGTAGCCAGTGGTTAAGTACATAACGTATTCTGCTTGTTGTTTTAAAACGTAACGTACAAGAGGAGCAATAGATGATGATGAATAACTGAGGTTCGCTGACCCCGTGAATATCCTCTAATGGCTATTCACGGTTGATCCACCAACTAGAGATAACAGCTAAAGGAAGCTCCGGTCCGTTCTGGATTATTATCAGGTCGTGAACTGATAATGGTCTATGATGGACCGAAACACTATCTAGTTTCTAGTCTCTACATTGTGGATTGTTTCAGCCAGGGCATTGATGGTTAGTGGTAAATTGTTCCAGCTACATTGATATAGAATGTAGATAGTTCCAGCCACTGTATTTTGGGTTACGAATTGTTCCAGCCACTGTATTTTGGGTTACGAATTGTTCCAGCCACTGTATTTTGGGTTACGAATTGTTCCAGCCACTGTATTGTGGGTCAATTGTAAATTGTTCCAGCCACTGTATTGTGGCATAGTTGTGAATTTTTCCATACACTGTACTGGGACTTGTTTACGACACTGACAAACGAGCATTAAGACACCATGGACAGGTCAACATAAGCTTGAGGCTCAAACAAGAGAAAGAAAAGCACCTCACCTTCACTACCCTTTCAAAACCACATTTCAGCTCAACAAATTATTGTCTACATTATGAATGCGCCGTTATAGAATACAACTGCAATATTAGATGGTAGTAATAACCCGTCCAAATTATAGGGAATTATAAGAAGCCAAAAAAGCATTTTTTTCCTCAAACGAATCCAAAATGTAAATGTTTCTTCACTTCATCAGTATGTTGTCAGCTTTATGATCACATAGTTCCTTGATAATGTGAGTAGTCACGAAAGCGCTTGGAATTTCTCTATTCTTTCAGAGTGGTTGTTTTGCATATTCTGAAATCACCTGTTTGCTGTGATCTATATTTCATATATATATATATATATATATATATATATATATATATATATATAATATATATATATATTATATATATATATATATATATATATATATATATATATATATATATATAATATATATATTTTATATATATAATATATATATATATATATATATGTCGTGCCGAATAGGCAGAACTTGCGATCTTGGCTTAAATAGCAACGTTCATCTTGCCATATAGGACAAGTGAAAATTTGTGTATGCAATAATTTCGCCAAAATCATTCTGAACCTAACGAAAAAAATATATTTCACTGTGTTTGTTTAGTATTAAATTACTGTAAACAAATCTAAAATATATTTACTTGGGTTAGGCTAAAATAAATTGGTCTTGTTATAATAAGATTAGGTAAGTTTTCTAAGATTGTTTTGGTGCAAAATTAAAAAATTTTACATTAACATTAATGAAATAAATATATCTTTAAACGTATAAGA